AAATTTGGCATTCCAAGTTTTTGGTGGGAACAACAACTTCTTCGCAGAAAAAAAATTGCGGCTTGTCATAAAAAAAGTTGAAAGTTACAATATACTAAACCGATACTGTAAACCCACATATAAACGTTTGCTTACAAATATGTATGTAGACAGAGAGCTTGATGTACAAATTGTAATGAGCATTTGCATGAAATATTCCAGCTTGGAAAATATGCATATTGACAATACACTTAGCACAATATATGAACATCGGAAATCACTTGCATATGGGCACTTCCGCAGTTATTTACACGAGTTTCAGAGGCAAAATCAAATTTTAAATCTTAAATAAATCGAAAACAATTACATTTTTCACAATTCTGCCTTAATACATTTTGTAGAACTTTAGGGGTACTATCAGTGTTAAAAATTGAGAGCCTATAGTTTTTAACTTTTAAGATAAAAGCCACAAAAGAGCGGTCATCACTACTAATAATGGGAAACCTCTGCGAATTGTGTGAATATTTTGAACTTTTAATATTCTTCACAAAAATAAAAGATACCAAGCATTCAGTAGTGTTTGGCGGGTTATTTGGGATACCATTTGTATTTTGTTTTTGCAAAATAGTCAGGCTTAATCCCAGTTTGTTGTTTTTATAAAAAACAACTATTTATTAGTGGGGAATGTATGGCATTGTCCGCCGAGGGTAAGGCAGGGAAGACTATAGTTTCGGATCTCGCCACTGATCCTCATCAGTTCCCTTAGTTTTTTGTTGGGATATTCTCCCCAGAAGCTATTAATAGCTTCTTTACAAAAAAACCTTTCAAACCCAAATGTCTCTTGTGACAATTCGAAGTTCTTACGTTACCAGCGATACGACCCCAATGAGAAGTTCGTTTCGTTGGCGCCTGACTTCGTGGTCAACAAGGCATTTACAGACAACTACAATACATTTCCCACTGCTATGTGTCGTCACTTTGTGACGAATGCACATAACGTTGTTGTTGGTATTGCTAGTTAAAGCAATAAAACAACAACCTGGGATTAAGCCTGACAATTTTGCAAAAACAAAATACAAATGGTATCCCAAATAACCCGCCAAACACTACTGAAGTTGTAGACGAGGCACGGTCATACTGTTTGGTTTACTGCTTTAACTAGCAATACCAACAACAACGTTATGTGCATTCGTCACAAAGTGATGACACATAGCAGTGGGAAATGTATTGTAGTTGTCTGTAAATGCCTTGTTGACCACGAAGTCAGGCGCCAACGAAACGAACTTCTCATTGGGGTCGTATCGCTGGTAACGTAAGAACTTCGAATTGTCACAAGAGACATTTGGGTTTGAAAGGTTTTTTTGTAAAGAAGCTATTAATAGCATCTGGGGAGAATATCCCAACAAAAAACTAAGGGAACTGATGAGGATCAGTGGCGAGATCCGAAACTATAGTCTTCCCTGCCTTACCCCTCGGCGGACAATGCCATACATTCCCCACTAATAAATAGTTTTTTTTTATAAAAACAACAAACTGGGATTAAGCCTGACTATTTTGCAAAAACAAGATACCAAGCATTATTACTGCACTTTCAAAATTTGGCATATCCTTTATTTGCGAAGGATTTTTTTCGGTCACTCACGCGACTTAACTAACACGGGCCCTCCCCCCAAATGAATTTTTTTTTTCACAGGACCCCGTTTTGGGTCGTCAAACTCTTTTGACCATCGTTTTAGGAATCCTAGTAAAGATTTGGCTTTATTTACGCATGACTCAATATGCAAATTAAATCGCAATTTATCATCTAAGATAACGCCATGATCAACAAAGGAGTCAACATTGTCTAATTTGTAAGATCCTATAAAATAATCGGTAGGAATTGAACGACATTTAGATAGGCATAATTTTTTACATTTTTAAGATTTAGTGACATGCTGTTAATACTGCACCAGTATTCAAGAGAGTGCAAATCATTTTGTAGACTAAGGGCTTTATTTTGTGAGTCTAAATTTCTGAAAAGTTTTACATCATCAGCAAACATCAACACTTTAGAAAATTGAATCACTGATGGAAGATCATTAAGGTATAACACAAATAATAATGCACCTAAATGGCTACCTTGAGGGACTCCAGAATGAACATCAATATTTTTAGAGAAAATATCATTATAAGACACGCTTTGAGTACGGTTTTGCAAGTGGGATGAAATCCAGGACAAAATTTTGAATGGAAAACCCATGACGTCAAATTTAAATAATAAAAGTTTGTGTAACACCGTATCAAACGCTTTACTAAAATCAGTGTAAATTACATCTGTTTGTTGTTTTGAAGAAAATCCATGGTGTGCATGGCATGTTAATTCCATCAGATTAGTTATACTGCGAATAAAAATAACCTGGCGGGTAATGTGGATTAGTACGTGTGGGTAATGAGGATCAGTAAGTTAAAGGTAGTTTGTGGATTGATTGCGATAAATTTCAATTTATTGCACTCTTGAGTAACAATGAATGCAAAAATATATGGGTTCTTGTTTTGAAATAGCTCCATTTAAGGGTACCGCCCCATTTGCGGTATTTTGAAGGTCCTTGCTTCATAATCCAACCGAAGCACCTGTAATTTCGCATATCAAGTTTTCAGAGGATAGAACACCTCATCGCATATTAAATGCGCTCATGTTTCGAACTCGTAAAGGTCCCACTTTTTTATAGTGGTCCAGATTACCCGACATTGAATATTTTTATTTAAAAATAATTATCGGCTTCAAAAATGAATAAAAATTTAAAAATCACCGATTGTAATTGCAGCTAAACGTATAAAACAAAGTGTTCGACTATTGTGCTAAAAAATGTTCAAATCACACTTTTACAATCAGAGCTACATTTTTCTACTACAAAATTTTCAACATTGCAATTATTTCACTAATTAGGAAAACATTTATCAAGGCGGTATTGACATATTTCAAGCATTTTCTTAGATATGGGGGGTGGTCCACATTAGACGCATAGTCCACATTACCCGAAGTTACTCTAATTAAAGAAACAAATTCTTCGACTTTGGTTTACCTTGTTGCGGAAGTCCCATATACAAGTTTGGCTGTGTATCGGCGTTTTGAATGTTTATGTCAGGAGGTAACCTTAAAAAGATGGTATATTTTTTTCAGAAATGATTTAAAACTCATTTAAGACGGAGTAACATCAAGTCAGAATATTCTACAAAAATGTTTGCCATAAAGTTTTACTGTAAATCTCAGAATACACCAAAAGTAGAAAATCAGCCTAAACGACAAAAATCTTAATGGGGCTAATGCCGATAACATAAAACATAATTTTTCGCACATTTTACTATATGCCTCAAAACAAACAATATATTTAAATTCAATAGTTTTTGTTATTTTATAGTATAAAATTAACAATATCGACAACAAATCCTTTGCTGACTTTCGTAAGTGTTAATTAAACATCTTGCAGAAATGTATCAGAATCTTCAATAAGAATGCATATTAGGAATATCTTGTCAAAAACAAAATTTTTCTACATCGAATTTCACAATTATTTATAAAAGAAAAATATTTGTAAACACAACATTTATTTGTGAAAAAGTATCTCTGATTTGGGTATATACAGCATATTGTCTATATTGATCAAGCTATCCTATATTTATTCTCTGAGGTAGAATTTTGCTAATAAGCTACAAAAATATAAAATTCAAATTCGAGCGGTATCGCTATATAAGAATTTTTAATAAATTACAATAATTTTAAATAATTATTTCTCACAGTGTACCAAAACACATATCAATATTATGTTAAAGCTAAATTTTATTGGAACGTTTTGTTGTTGTTGTTGTTTCATTTTCCTCTTCTTCGACGTTAACGTTTGGCTGCGACTTCGCCGAAGTTGTGCTTTACTTAACCACGCAAAACTTTTTTACACAAAACGCAGCTGATGCCAAAACTCAAATTCAAAACTATGAAACAGTCGCAGACGTGCTTGGCACGATTACGGAAGGAATAGCGGAAGGTTTTATTTACAAGACTTGAATTGAAATTCAAAAAAAGTGAATTTTATTTTTGACAAAATTCAAAAAAATAACAGACATAACGCCAATAATAATAATTTGAAGCAATTTACGTACCACGAGCGAGTTAAGTGGCAACCGAAAACAAAAAGTGAAATTATTAAATAAGAAAAAAGCGAAGCAAAAAAAATTAAAATCAAAATTTTATTGCAAAATATGACAACAACAGCGACGACAACAATACAAATAAAAGTTGTGTAAATTTGTGTTTAATGTTTACATTGGAGATTAAAATCATTTAAAAAAACAAACCCCACGTCCAGAGCCATTAACTCAAAACCGTTGTGCAGAAAAGTGAAAAAAACACCGACAACTAAATAATTAAATTTATTTTTTTGTTATTATTAAAATAAAAGTCGAAAACAAGAAGCGAGAGTAAAATAATATTGCTAACAAATTGGTAATTGGTAGTTAAAGTGGACTGCGGACTGACGTTCGAACAGCCAGGCCAGCCAGCCATCCAGCGTGCCTGCCATTGTAAACTAAAGATAACAAAGAGAGAGACAAAAAAAAACACAACAATAACAAGAAGCATTCAACAAAAACAAAATTTCAACACTTTCATTTTCATTGTGTGCTTTAGTCCGTCGTCAACACGGAGCTAAGCTGAGTTTAGTCGTGGTAGTAAGCCAGCATATTGACGACGCTTTAGTCTGTCTGTCTATGCCAGTATTGGCTGCTCGAGGCCCTTCTTTATGGTCGTATTTTTTGTCTTCTTCATTAAAATTGTGTTAAATAATCTGTGCCTTTTAAGACAAACAATAAAACGAACTACAACAACAATATTGACTTTATAATTAACGAAGTCAATTCTGCAATTTCCGTTTCCTGGCAAATGTTTTGAACGAGTGTTACATTTAATTAAAGAGAAAAAAACAGCAAATATTGAAGTTTCAATTCTCATCACTTGGATTTGTTGTTGCTGGCATCTCAGAAAAAGAAAAATGCGTTTAACTGCATTTCTCATAAGTTTGGGTAAGTTTCACATTTTGTTTTATTTTTTTTTCACTGTTTTCATTGTTCCCATCATTATTATCGCTTTTATTTGAGATTGTTTTTTTTCGTAACACTTGTGAAATTTGCATTTCTGCTGAGGCGTGAAGCGTTTCTTCTTCTGCTCTTGTACTCCGGTTTCTCTCCTCCATCCCTCATTTAAGTTTTATTGGATTTCGCTTTGATTAGTTTTTTTTGGCTTTACATCTTCACTATTTTGTTTTTTTTTTTTTGTTTCTTGTGGTTAAAGTGGGCCACCTCCATGAGATTGCAGATGGCTGCCTGGAGTATCTGTTGTTGTTAGTGGTGTTGTGACCCCAATACGCATATTAAGGTTTATTTAATTTGCGGTTATTTTTTTATTATTTTTATTTATTTACAACTCTTCACTTCTTTTTAAAATCATTGTCATTGTTCGCATTGTATTGTGTAATAATTATATGGTTGATAATTATTTTGATTTGTCATCGCCGTTGTATTGCTGCTTTAAGGTCAAACATTGACGAAGACGACGACGAAGAAGAAGAAATGAGGGCCACAACACAACAGAACAAAATTAAATCAAAAGACTTAAGACACAAACATAACAGCAGTGTTCCATTGAAATTGAACCAATTGTGGGATTTTATTACCACCATGGAAATGATTCATTTTGAATCGATAAATAACATGTTTTCTTTTGGGTTGAAATCCCGATAATAAATAGTTAAAGTGGTGTAGAGGGTTTTTATAGTTGTAACAGTATATTAATTGGTTATTCGGTGTTAAGTACGAGAAACAATAATAAACTTAAAATCATAATTTTTTACATCCTCAACCTTATGGCTAATGAGAGTATATATGGGCAATATTGCCAATTTTTTAACATAGCTGAAGCGGAGGTTCACCCCTTTATAACTCGGGAACTACTTAAGTATATGAACAAAAGTGAATAGTTTTGGGTTAATTGATCTGTCGTTGCAAACTGTTCATGATATTGGCCTCCAAACTTTATTTTGGTGGAAGCTGTGTCTACTTTAATGTAAAAAAGTGTGTAAAAACACGTTGAGGCGAACCAGATTTTTTATGTTCTCTATCGATTTGTGACTACGCCAGTCATTGCACGGTCTTCGTGTCAAAATAAAACTAGAAGCCAACAAAATGGGGACTACGCCCCTTATGTATCATTTTTCAAAATTTTCACTGCATCTACCTTTAAATGATGCTGACATTTTGAAGCTCGATTTTGAGTGTTTTTTTAATTTTACTTCTAGCTTTAATACGCAAACAGGAATTTCTAAAAATCGATTATAAGATTATTGTAGTCGCGAATCTGCGTAATTTGATATGTATTTTGTGTATGTAGTATGCACAGCTTCAGAGTAATACTCATCCGAAGGTGCGAATTTTGTGCGATCAAATTTCTAAAAAACCTATTTTTCGGGCCAAATTTTTAGATCTGTCAACTGAATGATATGGGTACCCGCGATCATAAAGGTTTTTTACGTTTCGGATGATATAAAATCTTCTTCGTGAAAATCCATCTACTAGAACGGCGGGAACTGGCCTTCGAAAAACACGAAATTTGGCAAAAAATGTTTTTGAAAATATCGCGGATTTTTTTGCGTTTTCTGTGTATCATTTCCGCTTCAATAAATGACCTCATGCGGATTTTGATCTTTCTCGAAAAGAGAACTTTAAAAACTTCAGCCGAAAGAGAGATGTACGCAATTTATCTCAAAAATAGATTTTGCTGGCACATCCATGGTTCTTAATGGACCACATTGAAATGGTATATAGATCGATGTATTTTTTTAGGGTGCACACCGAAATCGGATGCGCGTTAATGGCATATGGTGTTTTCGGAAATTATTCGCGTTTTAAGATTTTTTGGGTACTTCGATGTAACGTGCGGCACATCTTAGCCGTCAAATGAAATTTCGCCAAATATGTATGGATTGGAAGATAAACTTCAGTACTTCCTGGAAACCGCATGCGCATCAAATGATTTTGAGAATTACGCGATTTACACGCAATTTAAAATGTATATTTCATAATATTTTTTTATTTTAAGATTTATTCCTATTTATAGAATTCTAAGATTTATCGGAAGGGTCTTGATATAATCCGGAAGGCGTATACTTATACACAAAAAGTGATTATTATTATATATGTCAATTTTTCGGCGAAATTCGGGTAAAATAGTAGAATAACCCCAACATTTTTTTCTGAAATTTCTTGTATACAATTAAAAAAATAAATATGATGACATTATTTTTTCGAACCAAAAAGAAATATTTTTCCTCTATATCTTGTTTTGTTGTCGCTGTGATTTAGAAACCGCTACATGGACTTGTGTGATTTTGATATCATTTGATTTATCATGGTGTTTAGATTATGTAGATATTTTTAAATTAAATTTTAGGTGTGTGTATGTCATTAACATAATGAAAATATTGATGTAATCTGCTATATTTTTTTTATTTTTCTTATATTTCGCGAATATGTGCAACTTTATTGTGATTGTTATAATATATTCATATTCTTATTTTACGGAGGAAGATATATATCAACGTTTTTGGTCAATATAATAAACGGCGTAATTTTAAGATTTTTTTCTTATGCCCAAAATTAAAACCTCGATAACTTTTGCGCGCATCAACCAAAAATTTGATCGCGAACGGTTTCGGAGTCAGAACATTTTTCTCTATATGTATACCAAAAATCATTGATGTGCCACAAAAACAAAAAAGCAGATTTTTTGAAAATGGAATATTAAAAAATTGGCAATATTGCCCATATATACTTTGCTACGACAAAAAAATGATCGATGCCTTTAGAATCCAAGTTTTTTTGCACTAAATTCGTTTCCATAATTTGGAGTCGACTTACAAAAGTCCGTATGACTGGACGGACTCAAATCATGTTAGAAGATGGACAATATCTGTATACTCTTTCTCAAAATTTATGAACGGAGTATCGGAGATTTTAACCAAGCCTGTATAAAGATTGAAGATAAGACCCATCGGTCCAACGTTTCTGGTACCTCCGCCATAAACTTTTAAAAATTTATAAACTGCGCATATGAAGCGAATGGGGTATTTGATTTTATTCATGCATTTTACATCGTAATATTTTTACCATATCTGCATTAAATCCGAAAAAGGGGTATATTCTTATTTATTTTTTATTAATTCTCCGGTATATTTCGACCTATATTTTTTGTACGGCTCTATATATAGATAATGGTGACTTTTGATATTTTTTACTTTAAAAAAATTGGAATTAGTTATTCTTTGCTGATCTTTGTCACCATTCGCTCACCGCTGTCATGAGGATTCATACTGATCTCAGGGCACGGTTTTTACAGTTCTGAATACCTCTTCATTGCTTAGCTTTATATCGCTTTACAAAGTTTCCTAGTTAGTGCGCCAATCGATTTGAGGACCTTATTTTTATTCATTAGCTTTTGTTGTTGTAGCAACAAATTATATGTTATGGGTTGTCTGGTTTTTTGTTCCGGTTCCTCTATCTCTAAATTTAAAAATTTTCAACATTAATGGGTTTTGTCCATAGTGAATTCGGCGTTGGGTTAGTCGGCTTAGGTTAATTGAAGAAGTGCAACGTGTCGTGTGGTCCTAGCCCACATGCAGGACATGTGTTAGGTATCGAGCCGTCGATTCTTGCCCAATAGGAATGGAGGCGGTTGCACCATTCTGATTTTAGTTGAGCTAAGACTACTCGTGTTTGTCGGGGCAGCTGCTTTTCCTCTGTTGCGATGGATCGATTATTCATTCATGTTATTTCTCTACTGTCTGAACGACTAGAGGTTCACGTTTCTGACCATAAGACTATGACAGAGGTGTTCCCGACGATAACAACCAATCAAATACTGCATCGACAACATGTGTCGATGGACGGGTAAGATCTTTGTCGCCTGATGAATATGGTCCACTGCAGCCATGAGAACACACCCTGTTGTAGTTCTCTGGGCAGGATTCTGTCAGGTCTGGATATTCTTCCACTGCGTATCATTTACATTCGCCAACCTCACTGGCGCTGCATATCATACGGCCAATTGCTTTATAAGAGGTCAACAAGGTTTCTTTGTCAACCCCCCAAGTGCTGCCACCTAGCGACTTGAGGATCTTGTTCCTACTTTTCGGATATCTTGAGGTAGTTTGTGGTCGGAATCAGTTATCCAACGACCATTATGTTCGGCAGGAGCTTCATTTCAGCCGTCCATGTGGTAAACAGTGCGGCTGTTGATTTTGTGGCGGATATTTTCATATTTCTAAGATGGAAGAAATTTACGAGAACAGTTATGTAGAAGTTTAGCATTATTGCCCCTAAACTTGCACATTCAGAGGCATTTTTATATCCGCAGTCATTATGTCTGAAGATTTCCTGTCGGATATTTTCATATTCACGTATATCTTCAATACGGTCACCATATCGACGAGATAGATATTCAATCTTTTATATATATCCTAACCGACATACAGGACGCTATGATCAGGCTATCATCTGTATACAAAATTAAGGACACGGAATACCGGAAAGGTGGATGTTAAACCACTTTGGAGATTCCAACGCACCCTTGCGAAAATCCGCGCCCACACCTATAATTGATTATCCAACGTTTGCAACTGGGTGGAAGGAAATTTCCTCGGCGTACTCAAAAAATATGACATGAATAATGTATCCAAGGTCACACAATAGGTGTGTATTGCATTTGTTTTGGTTATTGCTCTCCAGAAGAAAACTAATGTTAGCAAATATCGAGGTTTGCAGATATTAATCGGCGGTGAATATACGTTAAGCACATCCACCTCGGGAGTAGCACATTTATGTATGGGTCACTAGAGTCTAGTTCAAGCAACATAGTCTGGTGCAAAAAATAATGCTATTCCCCACATCCACAGGTGGTACAATCTGTCATCAGAAGGTACAATCCTTGACAACACTTAGGGCTAAAAGTTTCATTGAGCTTTGACAACAATTCTATTTCCACGTAGGCTTTTCAAAAGTCAATATTGTTATTTTGAAGAAAAACTAAATAATTACTTAACTGAAAAAAGTTTACACTATCAAACAACATCATCTGGCCCCAGGTCTGATGTTGTAATTTGAAAATAAAGAAAAAAAACACATTTTGCCATAATTAATACTATTATTATTTTTTATTATTATTATATTTAAAAGAAATGTTTATTTACAATAAACTACAAAACTGGTTCCATCCATTCACAACGAATGGTGAAAAGAAAGTGAAAAATATCAAAATAATCGCTGAGCGATATAACCGCAGACATTTTTTATGCTCAACAGTATTGTGGTTGCTGTTGTTGTTGCATTGTATTCAAATCAAATGCTGCTTAATGATAGAAAAGAGAAGATAATAAAAGAAATTTAAAACATATATAAATGGTGACAGTAATAACGACAACAACACTGGGGGGAAATAAATGCAAATTACCTTGGCAACTCGATCGTGGTATATGCAACCAATATGTGGAGGCGTATGTTAATCAGGCAGGTGTTGTAACCACCATCTGTTCAGCCTATTTGGTCAGGTATGAGCTTCTGTTACAGACGTTATCTTATACACTTCCTGATATCGTCTAATGACGTCATTAAAACAAAATTCCAGTTGCAAATGAAGATAGGCCGATGATATGTAGATATGTTGTAACTAAATACCGGTGTTATCTGACGATAGCAGCTTACGAGTCAAACATTTGTTAGTCTCACGCGTTTGATACTCGGCAGTAGTGCCGCAACAAAATTTTTGCCTCAGTCGTGGTGTCGTAAATCATTAAGGAAACGTAAGGTTAACTTTTTAGTGTGCAATACAGTTGTGGGCAGAATTATAATTTTGGAAGTTTTTTTTATAAAATATGAATTAACTTCTCATTTTTTGGTTCTTGGAAAAATTGGGTCTTCCCATACAAGTGGTAAGAAGTTTAATGACGAAAATCAATTAAAAAGACATCTTAAAAATAAAAAAAAAAATAATAATTACAATAGCGAAAGCAGTTTTGAGTAAAAGGCACAAAAACTGAACAAATAAAGCATTGGTGTTTAGGCTGTCATAGTTGGGCTGCACTAACCTTTCTTTGATTAGTATCCCCAATGTTGTCCGGTTAGTCGTGGATTTCTTCTTATTTTTTGTAAAATAATAAAGGAAAACGGTGTCCAAAATCAAGTATGACTCTGATATTCCTACATAAATTGACATTTCATACAAAGCCAACTTAACAGGATAGGCCTGAATCCCCCTTTAGCATCACTACCAATTAATACTTCGTTAACTGTTTATTTTGTTTTCTTCGCCAGTCGCTGCAGCTCTGCCGTTGGTGGTGGTATCGGCAAGTCGATCGGAAGGTAGCAGTCTACAAGGTATATATCTGGGTATGTTGTCATTCCCCTGTTTCAGTATAGTAGCGTCCGATGTTGACAACTCCTGGGAGATGAAAGAATCCTACGTTCTTTGCAGAGGCCTTGCTTTTAACAATCCAATTTTTATTTTCCATCAGAGCCATTGTTGTCGTCTCACACCGATGGAGATTTATCTATAAATTGCTCTAGAGTAAACGAGGGAGAAATACCCTTACTTTTGTTGCTGGGTATTTCTCCTTCGCTCCTTTTTGTGGTTTCCTTATCTCGAATCCTTACCTTCCCATTCTTGAAATAGAGAACGTTGGACACGTAGTGCACCTTAACCTAATTACCAGCAGTGTAGGGTTCTGGAGACCAAAGTCTTCGAGCGTGGGTTCTAACGTAAACTCGCTGCCCCAACCTCTGACCAATATCGTTGGGTTTTGTAATTGTTTCGCTTATGAAGACAATACTTTCTCAGGGCTACCATTGACGACTCATATTCTAGCATTAGAAAGTCCCCTTTGAATTCTCAGCTATCGCATCCATGACCTTCAAATGGGTTTGCTTGTTTAGTTTCACGGACTCAATGGCAGAACTCATCTCGATCAACATTTGCCACCCTTTTCTATTTCGTAAAGTCCCGTTGTCCTTTTGGATTCCCAGTCTTTACGAAAGATTCCGATGCAGCGCTCGTCTTCTTGATATTAGAGCCTGCTTCTCCACCCTCCATCGATGGATTCTGTTGACAGTCTTCTTACACATCGGCCTTGTCCTGCCTTCTATCTGCCTATATCAGCCGATGAGAAGCTCTTTTTCTTTTTTTGCGCGTTCGTTTGCTGTTCCGGAGAACTAATCCTCTTTGCCGTTTCCGAGGAAGTGGAGGGAGGGTCAGACTTATCATTCTGAGCATCAGTTTGCTTTGTTTCTCCGGTTCATCCTGGCCGACCCTTGTTCGACTCAACTACCATTTTATCAGCCTCTTCGATCAACCCGGTATTCTAAGTCGGTTTTGTCAGTTTTATTCTGGTGTTCAGAATCGTTTGCTTGTTTGTTCACGATCGCAGGATGACGACGAGGCGTGACTTGTGAGCAAATAATCGACACCCACTGGTATTGAGTTATTTAGGCTTTGCGCCGTAAAGGGGGGAAACATAAAAGGACTTAAGGCTTTGCATGTTAATTTGGTTTTTTATTGTAATAGCATAAAGGAGAACGGCGTCCAAATCAGGTTTGACTCTCGAATTCCTTTATAAATTGTCATTTAACAATAACAGACCTAAATCCTCGTATATGTTTCCCCCTTAACTTTATTCTTCTTCGTACTTTCCATGTTTGTTTTAGGGGAACTCCCCAATAGCCAATTATGATCCGCGGGGACAAGGCCCTAAAGGTGGTTGATCAAACTATCCCTCCTGGATGGTAGAGACATTAGATGAAGATGGAGAGACTAATAATAGCGGCTAAGTAGAAAGATGATAGTAAACGAAAAATGTTGTTAATATTTTTCAGAAAGATTTTTAAAAAGAAGTACTATTTTTGGAAACTAATTGCGCTATACGGTAACTAGTACCATTTTCGTTGATGTTGATGCTGTCTATATAACATTCGCCTCATTCAAAAAACCCACTGCTCTTTAAATGACTCACAGCTGTATGGCCAGCAAGTGAGTGTACCTGACCATGGACAACATTTTTCGAATGCAGCTCTTTATCGGGTTTGAAGTGTGGCCAACAACAACAAAAAAACGGAAAATTTCCGCTTTATAACGAAGAGTATTAGGAAATACAAGTAAATTCCAGCTATTTTTTTTCTTAGCGCCATTCGACACAGATGATATCAGCTGTTTCGTTGGCCATAAAGACCAAAAAAATAAAATAAATATTTTAAAGCGATAATCGCATGAGTAAACTTAAATAGTTTTGGTTGTTGTTTGGGACTTGAAAATTCCAGTTGTTATTTTTTGTTGTTGGTTCGCTTATGATGGCGGATTACTTCAGTTAATCCCCAAGTTATGTAATAATTCCAGTAGCTATTTTAAGATACTGACTGACAGTCACAACAACAACGAAAAAAGTTTACTTTTAAAGCCAGAGACGATGCTGTTCGACTAGGTTGTGGTTTTCCATGCATTGCTGCAAATGTTGCAACTTGTATGGCTGGCATGAAGTTTGTTTGGTTAAAAAGGGGGCTTCATGCGGTGGCTGTTGCTGTTGCCATTGTTCAGGTTGTGTGTATTGTTCGCCTGGAAGTTAGAGTTTTGCAAATTGAGATTTGAGTGCGGCATTCATTTCCGCATCGTGATGTGGCCTCTCCAATGGATTTTTGCACTTTCGCTTTTTTCACCGTTTAAGAGACGATATTTAAAGTTGATTATAAAGGAATTTGGTTGCAATTGTTAAATATTTTGTTTTTTGTAAAGAAATTAATGTCTGCTGAAGGTCGGTTGGTTACTATTGGTGATTTGAAAGCTTGTAATTCAAGGTTATAATCCTCAAGTGGTCTTGGGGGTTTTCAAGTGTGGTAAAACTTTGTGAAGTGATCATTAACATAATTGAGATAATTATGGAGTTGCAATAAGAGAGGACACATTCTGACTAACAAATGTTAGCATGAACTGAAATAATAAATCATAAATTGTATGACCAACCTCTTGTTGTTAGAAGTCCTTTTGAAATGTTGGCCGAAGGCAACATTAAAGTGATTTTATGAAACAAATTTTTAGATCGAATTCTTCAGTTGAACAATTTTTTTTAAATACTATAGTAAAAACGCCTACTTTTATGTAAATTATGTCATGAAATTACATTAGTGTGGGCAGGGACTAAAGAAACTTTTAGCATTTTTCTCTAACCTTAAAATTTCTATGGAATTAAAATTTCTATAGTCCCCCGGATCTTCTTTCAGTGTGACGAAATGTTATAACTATTGCAAAATTGCACAAATCAGTTAATCAAATAATATTTTTGTTTGGTTAACAAATATTTGAACATTTGGTGTTAATTGCTCTAATTTTCAATATTTATTTGCCAGAAAACAGCAAAATCAAATAATATTTGCCGTTATATATTTATGCGAATTGTTCGTATTGATGCAATATTATTTAATTTTCAAAATAAATATTACGAATCGAAATTGAAATTGTCATTTATAACTAAAATTATTTTAGTTCAATGATTATCGATAGCCATAACGATATGTCATGCTTGGCGTACCTATGTGCGTACAAATTGTTGGTAATGTTCGTGAACAATGACAGTTTTTTGCGTAATAGTATTTACCCACGTAAAACATGAATGAAATATTAATTAAGGTTTGACTCATGTTCTACAGTGCACAGCCAACAAAATTTGGAGGTTATAGATAAAAACGATGTGGATGTCCACAGAAGTGTGAAGAACCTTAGAAATAACAAGTAAATAAGTGTCAGTCGGTGTTGCCGACAGATATACAGGGTGAGATGAAAAAACTGCAACCAACTTCAGACTGATGTCATTTCTAAGCCACTCGTCCCAAAAATTGCTAAAATTTTTCCAGTGACAGCTCATTATATTGTTTACAAGCGTACAAAAACATTTTGTTAAGAATTTTCCACAAAAAAGTTATTCGTGATGGAACAGAAAGAAAATAGACTGAGATGAGCTAAAGAGCATGGCCGAAAGTGGTGAACTGCCGAATTTGGTTTTCTTCGATGAGATAACATTCGTTGTCCAGCAGTTTGTAAACAAACAAAATGATCGTGTTTACTTGCCAAAGAGGTCAGCTGAAAATGTGAACGTTCGGTTGGCCACCAAAACTTAAGCGCCGGCCATGGTGATGGTGTGGGCCGCCATAACAGCCGATGGTAGCTCTTCGCTCGTATTAAACGAATATCATCAGAATAAATGCTGAATATTATCGCGAAAATATTCTGTAGGGTGTATTAAAGCCTTGGGCACGCAAACATTTTGGCTGCAGACCTTGGTTCCGATGGTGCTATGGTTCCTCGCTTCATTTCCTGCGCACAATGGCCACCAACATCTCCTGATACCAATCCGTTGGACTATTGTGTCTGGAGTATTTTGGAAATCAAGGTTGACACCACAAGCAAGCGCTTCGCCGGGAATGGGCCAAAATACCGCAAAGCAACAATCGGGCTGCGTGTGATGGTTTCATTGGCCGTTTGAAGGCCATAATTCGCGCCAAAGGAGACCAATTCGAACAAATCTAAACTTATTCTATTTCCAACATTTTTGCTTTCATTCAATAAAATTTAAAAAAGTGTAAAAATTATGCCGCTTGACTTTGTTGCAGTTTTTTTATCTCACCCTATACCCCAGCCTATGGTATGCGGAGGTCTACGGAATTACACACAGATTTTATTATTAGCTTTATATAAGAAATATTATGTTATCAAAGAGCATTCAGTCCGAATGTTGATAAAATTTTATAAAATATTGACCATTTGTGAGGGAGATACTGGAAGGAGTGGACTATCTTCGGAATTGATATAGGGTTGGTAAAGATAATAGGTTGTGCAAGGATTGGTTGAAATATGACATTCCATTCGCCTGATATTGGATTTATAAATATTAAATATTTTGACCATTTTGAGGGGAAGGTACCAGAAAGAATGGACCAATGGGTCCCATCTTTGGACTTAATCTAGATTTCGCAAAGATGATGGATTGTGCAAAGTTTGGTTCAAATCAGACATTCCATTCGCCTGATATTGGATTTACTAATATTGACAATTTTGACCATTTGTGGGGGAGGTACCAGAAGGAGTATACCAATGGGTCCCATCTTCCTACTTAATCTAGGCTTGGTAAAGATAATAGGTTGTACAAAGTTTCATTAAAATCGGATAGCCCGTTTGCATGTTATTATTAAATTAATTTTTAGCATAATTTTGACCATTTTGTGGGGGAGGTACCAGAAAGAGTGGACCAATGGGTCCCATCTTCAAACTTGATCTAGACTTGGTAAAGGTATTAGGTTGTGCAAAGTTTGGTTCAAATCGGATATTAAATTAGTCTAATATTGGATTAATAGATATTGAAAATGTTGACCCTCTGTGGGGGAGGTACCAGAAGGAGTGGACGAATGGGTCCCATCTTCAAACTTCTTCTAGGCTTGTGCGAAGTTTGGCTCAAATCGGACATTCCATTCGTCGATATTACCCATCTTCGAACTTAAACTAAGTTTGGAAGAAATATTACGATGTGTAAAGTTTGGATGGAATCGGGTATTCCCTTCGAGAGTTATCGTACGCACCAGCCAGACAGACAACGGGCGGACGGCGGGACATGTGTAAATCTGAAACGGATTCGGTCCAAAGAAACATGGTATCTAAAACCAATATTTCTATGAGGCATATTTTCACCGTATCAAAGTATATATACCCTCATTAGCCATAAGGCTGAGGGTATAAAGACTCAGACATGAAAATATACCGTGAGAAAATTAAAGGCTCATGTCACAGTATTGCAAGGGTACTGAGAAGCATGAAGGAGGATCAATAATGGTATTGGGCTGTTTTTCTGTTTATGTTGTTCGATATATTTACGAGATTTATGAAGTAATGAATCGGATTGTTTATACAAATGTGCTGGAAAGCGCTATGGTTCCCTTCGCTGAAGAAAATATTCCGCTTGTTTCAGCTTGACAATAACCTCCAAACATACACCAAAACAAATTGCAAAGATTGGTTGTGGGAGTCAAAAAGTAGGGTTTTATAATGGCTAACACAATCACCAGAACAGACGTAGCTTCTTCCTACAGGTTCAGGATGCAAAGATGTAGTATATTCAAGGATCATATTAGGCCTTTTATTGATTCAAAATTTGCTTATTTATAAGAAAAAATTCAGAAATTTGCTTTAGTTTTGAATAAGAAAAATTTGCGCCAATTTTGTTTTCCATACAATATTTTTTATTTCAAAATAAATTTTGAATTTATATAATTAAACTACTTATTTATATCTGAAAAAACTCACTATGACATTACCTGTAAACAAGGTACAGGACATTTATTCGGTTGCTTTAGTTTTGGTCACCAGTGTAAGTCCATCTTTTCATCATCAAAATATGCATTCTTAGGTATTTTTTCGATTTCGAGACGATATTAAATCACCTTACCAAAAATTATTAATATTAGTCCACAACGATACCCTTTTTGGCGATTTGGCATTTTGATGATTTCAGCTAAATTGGCTGTAATATAACATTTCAGATTTACCAAATATCCCTAATAATAAATAACTTTCCTCCATCGTAAATTAAAATAGTTAACTATTAACTCATTACGGTTTGTCATAATATCAAAATTAATTTCAATTATCTGTCAGTATACCTACGGTGGAGAGCATAAAAAATCCGGCCCGGCATTTATGATGAGTTGAGAGTTCGTGTTATTTTTTTTAAATAATAATTTGTCGGTAGGATACTGTTATATTTCAGGGCAATCATACACAAATCACTACACATTCACATTTTGTTGGCATTTCTTCATTTCAGTTCAATTCATTTCGGGTTTGTTTATTTTGAATTTGTATTTTTAAGCGTTTTTCTTTGCTTTGAGTCGTGGTGATGGGGTGGGAGGTTGAAACATGGCTCGGTTAATATATCATACGTTGTTGTGAAGGCAATGTTTTCATTTAATGAATAGTTGTTGTTGTTGATTTTGTGAGTTTTACATATTCCACAGAAAAACAAATGGGCGAGTATTATGATATAACCGTTAAGACGGACAGACACACAACGAACCCAACCCATTATTGGCAAGACACCAAAAAGGGCTTAAACTTTTTTCTCTACGTGAATTGTATTTTTTTTTTTTTTTTTTTGAGAGTGGACAGACAAAACGCTGTAAAGATACTCATCGGTATGTGGCGAAGTGTGTCAAGAAGAAGATAACCCTCAGTCAGACAGACGACATTCACTCATTTAAGTGGATTTTTATTTGTTCACCTGAAATTCATTTCAAGGTCAGGTGGTATTTTTCGGTATTGTATTTTGCTTTTTGGTTTCATTATTGTTATTGTTTTTGGAGAAGTGCAGGAGGTTGGTCATTTATTTTAATTTGTACTCATTTATATGAAAATGGTCTTGCATGTTCGTTAAATAATCTACCTCCAACAATCTTGAAGTTATTTCACTTAAGGAAGATGGCAAGCCAACCAACCGAATAGTCAGTCAGCCACCAGCATATCTGAAGCAGAAAGAAAAATAATAATAATAACAACACTCGTAATAAAAACAATGAACTAAAATGAAGTCATTAATTTTTTCGATATGGAATTTTTGTCACTTTCACCTAAAATTGTTGCTGATGATGTTCGGAATTTATCTGCAGTTTTGTTTTGTGTATTGAAGCTGACTTTAATAGTCGGCAATTAAGTGAACAAGATGTGCGATAATGCTTCTGCTTCAGCTGCTCTTAATTACGCAGAGTGTACGTTCGAAGAAGAAATCTGTAAATCGAAGGCAGAATTTTGTATTTTAGGTAAACAAGTAGGAGATTTACTTTAAAATAACAAAAACAGATTACAATTTGTAAGAAAATTATGCCTTTTAAATTCATAAGCTATAAGGACATGAGATTAAAGTCAGAAAAATGAGGTTAAAATATTATCCATATCAGGTGGTAAAAAATAGTGCTGTTAAGTGTAGTAAATGTAACGAGGAAAGTATCAAAGTTGCATACAGTATTTTTTTTAAAAGAACCCCCCCCCCCCCCCCCCATTCTCGATTTTAATTTTTCAAGATTTTCAATGGGCTGGTAAATCAATACCAATGCTTGCAGCAACGTACACAGGATTTCATTTGGGGGTGGGGGGGGGGCCCGGTAGTACAAAATGGAAAAATTCGCTGTTGCAAACATAAATTTACTGTGAAAAAAATTCATTTCGGGGGGGCCCGGGCCCCCCGGTTATTGAAATCGATTGGGTTATTAGTTTTTGAGTTATCGTGCACGCCATTCACAAAAAAATGTTTAGAGAAAAACGCGTTTCAAGTTTGAGAAGCCCTTCAGCCGTGACCTGATGCTGACACAATAAATCGGCTATATCTTCAAGAGTTCTTGAGATTTTCACTTGAAATTTTCTAGGAACATTTATTAATTAGTGTAGATTCGAATTATATCAACAAAATTTTTGACCCCGAGAATGGGGGGAGGTCCCCTTAAATCCACTCCTTGGTACTTGAAGAAATATTGTTTTTTTAATCCCTGCATTTGGACCTTAAAAAAATATTTTCTTTAAAAAAACCCACTCATCTGGCCCTTAAAAAAACATTTTCTTAAAAAAAATCCACCCTTTAGTCCTTGAAAAAATATTTTCTTTAAAAAATCCACGCCTTTGGTCCTTGAAAAATATTTTCTTTAACAAATCCACGCCTTGGGTCCTTGAAAAATATTTTCTTAAAAAATCCACGCCTTGGGTCCTTGAAAAATATTTTCTTAAAAAAATCCACGCCTTTGGCTCTTGAAAAAATATGTTCTTTAAAAATACACGCCCTTGGGCCTTGAAATAATATTTTTTTAATTGCACGTCTTATCTTTAAAAATCCACGCCTTTGATCCTTATCTTTATCCACGCCTTTGATCCTTATCTTTATCCACGCCTTTGATCCTTATCTTTATCCACGCCTTTGATCCTTATCTTTAAAAATCCACGCCTTTGATCCTTATCTTTAAAAATCCGCGCCTTTGGTCCTTATCTTTAAAAAATCCCCGTCTTTGGTCCTTGAAAAAATATTTTCTCAAAAAAACACGCCCTTGGGCCTTGAAAAAATCCGAAAAATGGTGGGAGATTTATAAGCTTTGACGTGGCTATGACAAACCATAGAAATAAATCGGAATGTTCTGCGAACAATAGAAAACACGACTAAATCGTTAAAAATACGAAAAATGGGAAATCATTGGTATCAAAACGTGGATCGATGTATCCCATTCTCAATACCAACCTTCTTATCTTAAATATTGCGAGGGCATAAAGTGCTTTGGCCACGACGAATATTTTATTTTTGGGGGATGTTCAATATAAAAACAAATAATCAGGTTGAAAGTTAGACGGACCGAATTTCTTATACCCTCTGTCCTAGGTATAACGTGAAACTTTTCATTTTAGCAACATTAAATTATTTTATTATTATTTTACTAAATATTAACTTTTTCTCTTTGTTTCCTTCCAGGTCTACTATCCGCCATAATAGTACAACGAACGACGGCCCTCGAAGAAGATGGCGACTATGAGCCGCGGCATTTAACCAATGACCAATGTAAGTATTGACTCAATTAGAGGTACTCCCATCACACAAACATAACAAACAAGTCTCGATTCATAACTACTTTTAAGGCAGCGTCCTTTTTCCAGTCTCAATCGGATTCACCGTTTTCTAGACCACTATCACCGCCCGCCTATGCGATACGGACTGGGCGTGGTAAGGATTTGAAAATACCAGCCGAAGCTGACTCACGCTCGGAGTCAGATAGTAGTGCTAGCGAAAGCAGTGACTTCTCGGATGATGACCAAGATGAGGAGGGTTCAGCGGAATATTACGATGAAAGTGAAGAGAATGCAAGCAGTTCCAGTGCTAGTGAAAATAGTGGAAGTGATGAATCACTGCCACGCCTATTGTCACAATCAGCCTTTCATCGTATCTCCGAGACATTGGGAGCACTAAATACAGTGGGTCATTTATTGGTTGATATGACACGAGGAGGAGGAGGACATAATAGTAATACAAATGGTTCGACGGGCATCTCAACTACAACATCTAGTACAACCACAACAACAACGGTGCCAACAACTACCGACAGAAATCTCCAGGAAAATGTAAATTCAGCGAAATTGTTTTCCGGCACCACATTGGACAATAGCATTGACACGGCGAAGGGTTCTTCGTCTGTACAAGTAGCCGACAAGAGAATTGGTCAAGAGGAACACATCAACAAGCCAATGTTCGTGGAGAACAAGGAGGTGAAAAAGAAGCGCAAGAAGAAGAAGAATAAGAACAAGACTAAAAAACCAAATGGTGAGGCGGCAACAAATTCCACTTTGACGCTAACAAATGTTCCCACCACCTTAAGACCTACCACCACTGTGCGGACCACAACATTGGCCAATGTTGAACAGAACGGAGTGTTCAATGATGAACGTGAAACTGGCAAAGATGTCGAGAATCGTTGTAAAACACCCAATGGACGTCCTGGACGTTGTGAAGATCTAAGCAGTTGTCCAGCTTTGCTTTTGAATTTGAGTAGTCTCCGGGAGTCATTGTGTTTCAAGAGCCTATTCGTGCCCGGTGTCTGCTGTCCCCTTCCGGAAACATCAACAGTGTTGACAACACAAAAACCTTTGAAGTTGACAACAAAAGCTCCCACTACCACGACAACCACAAAGAGGCCACCGCGTCCTTCGTCGACTAATTTGATTTTGAGACCCCAGGTTAAACCTACCGTTGCAACAACGACAACAACAACAGCAAATCCTTTGGATTCGAATGAATTGGAACTCTTGGCCAATAATAATATTGTTGATCCTGAAGATTGTGGCCAGCAGGAATATTCCACTGGACGTATTGTGGGCGGTGTGGAATCACCAAATGGCCAGTGGCCTTGGATGGCGGCAATTTTCTTGCATGGACCTAAACGTACGGAATTCTGGTGTGGTGGTTCGTTAATCGGTTCACGTTACATCCTAACAGCTGCTCATTGTACCCGAGATTCGAGACAGAAACCGTGAGTAGAAGGGAAAAAGGAGGGTGAAATAGAAAGGGAGTAATAATATTTGAATTATTTCAGATTTGCTGCTCGACAATTCACTGTGCGATTGGGTGACATCGATCTTTCTACAGATGCTGAACCTTCAGCTCCGGTGACGTTTGGTGTAAAGGAAGTTCGTGCTCATGAAAGGTAAGAAAGAAGAACGTCAAAAATGCTGAATAGGGACCCTTTAGATAGGTTCGTTGTATACCTCAGGAGGCCTTCTAATAAAAGACATAAAGGAATAATCATAGATGACTAGAAAGGTATCTTCATAGAGGAAAATTAGGTATTCTCATAGAGAGAAGACCAGTCCGCCTTCTTATAGAGGACGAGTAGTTCTTTTTATAGCGGACGAGTAGTTGTTCTTATAGAGGATCATTAGGTATTCTTATAGAAGACCGGTGGGTCATATAAATGTCGTCTTATAGAACACTCATAGGTCTTCTCATTGAAGACCAGCAGGTTTTCTTATAATAGAAGCTCAGTAGGTCTTCTCAAAGAAGGCCCGCAGATTTTTTTCAAAGGAAACCCAAAAGAACGTCAGTAGGACTTCTTATAAAAGGTCAGTAAGTCTTCTCATAGAAGGTCAGTATGTCTTCTCTTAGAAGGTCAGTAGGTCTTCTAATAGAAGTCCAGTAAGTCTTTCAGAAGGTCTTCTTCTAGATGGCCAGTAGTCTATCTGTAGGTCATCTCATAGAATATCAGTAGGACTTCTCTTCTTCTTATAGAAGTCCGAAACTTATTAATGGATCTGTTACATTGTTTTTAGATTCTCTCGCATTGGATTCTATAATGATATTGCAATTCTGGTGCTCGATAAGCCTGTGCGCAAATCGAAATATGTTATTCCCGTTTGTTTGCCACGGGCTGGACGTATGCCACCAAAGGATCGACTACCCGGTCGTAGAGGTACCGTTGTTGGCTGGGGTACCACCTACTATGGCGGCAAAGAATCCACATCACAGCGTCAGGCTGAATTACCCATTTGGCGCAATGAAGATTGTGATCGTTCCTATTTCCAACCGATCAATGAGAATTTCTTGTGTGCTGGCTATTCCGATGGTGGTGTCGATGCTTGTCAGGTAAGGCTTTCAAGGGAATCTAAATAAACATTTTAATCATTGTTTGTAATCCATTTTTGCAGGGCGATTCTGGCGGTCCTCTGATGATGAGATATGACTCACGTTGGCTGCAACTGGGTGTTGTTTCGTTCGGCAACAAATGCGGTGAGCCTGGCTATCCTGGTGTTTATACACGCGTCTCGGAATATTTGGACTGGATTGCCGATCACACAAAGGACTAGATCTATTTTTTATTTGGTTGTCTGCAAATTGGTGTTATTTTCCATAGAAATATGACTAGTCGAAGTTAGGCGAAAAAGAAACCTGTTGAATTTTTTTTATTTTATTTTACACACATACAAATGTAATTTATTGACACTGCCTGTCGTCTCCTTTACTTTTTTTTATCGATATGCTAGTTTTTAAATTAAATTTATAAATAATAATTTATTTAACTTAATAAAATATAATTATAAATAAATTTAAATTGACATATTTTAATTAAGTCTTCTTATATAATTCTTGAGTTACAAATATTTTAAATGAAATAAAATCTAATATAAATATATAGGTAGTGGTTGGAAGTTAGTAAACCGAATTAGTTCGAATCGATTTTTTTTATAAGTGATGAACCGTATCATCGGCTGTCTTATTTTCACATTTTTGGAAGAGATTTTAGTATTCAGTTATGGCCAGAGAAAACGGCGATTGATACTTTGAAATATTCGAAATGTTTCTTTTCCGACCAGTCCTACGGCCATAAACAAAATGTAATTGAACTATCCTGCCAAATTCTTAAGGTTGAATGCATCATTTAGTACCAACAACTTAAATATTTTTCAGTCATCGATAATTCATGCCTAAAGGTATGCTACAATAACTTAATTTTATAATGTTTTCATAATCTTCACCATGAGGTAGGCATTAAAAATACCCAAAATCGATGGTGTCTTTGTATGGAGGCTTGTCCATGGTATAATAATACAAGGTAGGACAACTTGAGGTGAATAACAAAAAATGCAACTATGTAGGTAATGGCATCTTCTGTCTGCAACCAGTGGTTGTGTTTATTATACATTTTTTCAATACATTTCAATGAAAGCTAGTGATTTCTTCCCTAAATCCAGTAGGGTATACCATACCATACAGTAGAATTTTTATCCTCCGTGAAAACGCAAATCTAGAAACATAAATCGACATAGAATTTTATTCTGATGAAGAATGTATATACTTTATGATGTCTTCGGTGAATCTTTCGGCTCTTGTAGTAACCTTAAACGGCATTTATGAAGATTTATTTGGCATATATTGAAAGGAATCGACAATTTAAACCCACTGGTTTAACGAAATCCAGTAATTTTTATGTATGCTGGGCATAAAAATACGCATTTTGAATATTAGAACTCATATTTACAAAGTTTTTTACGAATATAATATTAAAAACGGTCTTAATTTTTTTCAAAAATTTGGAACAAAATCGAACTGATTGTCTGGACGAGTAAAGTCCTTATGTAAATGAGAGTCGTTGACTAGTATATAATATTTATGGGAATAAAACCCAGAAGGACAAATTGGCCATAGCTCAAGCTTGTTTAGGGGCGTGCTTAATTTGCTGCTGGTAACTCTAAAATTTGTAAAGATATATATATCTATATAGCTTCTTTATATATGTCTTTCGCCGTATATGTAGTAATTCTATGGAATAAATAAAACTAATTTATTAAATTTTTACTCAACGTTTCGCTGGTCTTTTTCCAACTTCTTTAGGGGTATTTTATTAAAAATTCCTAACGACAAGAAAAACATTTTTGTTGTTATTACACATTTTGTGATCTGGGCTTAATATTCTACTTACAATTCATATTTCATTATATTTCCCACAGTATTATTATCCATATTTAAAAAAACTGAACATCAGAACACACTTTTTTATAGTTTCAAAAATAAAACTATGTATAAATAAAAAAATATACTTACTTAGCTAGCTTATTACATAACGGTTGTTCCATAAGCCGAGCTTAAAAAAGATTTCCAAGCGCGTCGGTCTTGTACGCATCTCCTCCAATTTAAAGTATTGATGGGCTCCGATAAGTCCTTTCCGACTTTTACTGCTGACCTTGTGCCATTAAAAGTTATCCTGCATAGCCGTATTAATTTTGCAGGAATGCCGAACGCAGACATTGCTTGAAACACCTCTGAAGGGATAGGGCTGTCGAATGCGGCTTCATAGTCGACGAATAGGTGAAATGTGCCGATGTGTTTTTCGCGGGTCTTTTCCAGGATTTGGCGCAGAGTGAAAATATGGTCAACAATTGATTTGCCAGGTCTGAAGCCATACAATATATTGCAGCAAAAAAACTTAACCTTATATTGAATATTTGTGTTGTATTTATCTTCGTTTGCGGCCATTCCAGGTTATTTGTGGTATGACTTGTCTTAAGTCAAATTAAATGGGAAATATTTTTGTAAAAAATATCCCGCTTTAATCTCGAGTCCTTTGCATTTTGTTTTCTTAAACTGTAATCTAAATATCATAAATATGTAAGTATTATCTGTTGATTTATACCGTTACACAATTTAAGGGCCCGAATATGTTTCTCTAGAATAATATTTAGTAATGTATTTTCACAAAAATACATAAGACACGTGGACGGGCATGCATAAATCGACGCAAAATGGATTTTATGTATATCCTTAAAAGTAATTATGGATCGCACTGGTTTTCATTTATAAGGCCTTTCTCGATTGTATAGCTCTTATAGCTGTATATATTTTTTCTTTTAAAAATTAATAAGTATTTCTAATTATTTAAGCTTTGGTCCACTGTGTTTATGCTCTGCTCATAAACATAGCATATGTACAATAAAAATGTATTTTTGTTTACTTTTTAAATAATATGAATAAAGTTTACCTCCGTGGTTGGTTACTCACTGGGCTTTGGTGATTTATATTACATTCCGTTCGAGCTTCTGTTGAATGGGCAATGATTATGTTTGCTATCGCTTAATTAAATTATTATGTTTTGGCGATAAAAGGCACTACTCACTCATTCTCTCTGTCTCCCCCTGCTCTAGTAAAATAGTTGGCGAACTTAAGCCACTCCAAATGAAACATAATAATTGGCGTTATCTTAAGAGGCCTGTTCAGCTGATAACAACCTGTTACAGATAATGGGTTTTTATATATAAAAACATTGACACTTTAATAGCTGACTGAATTGATAAAGTAAAATGAAATGCGAAATTGAAATTCTTTGAGGCATGATTTGTCAAATTTCTATCGTAACTGAAACGCAAAATTAAATGAATAATTTTTAATTTCATTATATTTTTAGAGTAGTACTAAAAATGTCAAATCACCATGACGAAGTATAAAATGCCTTAAAGTATGTAGTATAAAATAAATTAAAGTATTTGCACCACAATCGCCTGGCATAATGTCAGACTATCAGAATGGTTGGAAGTCTAGACAAAATTACTCACGGGGACCCTTGGAGTTATTACTGGAGGCAATAACTGTTGTGAGCGATATATATCCCTATTTCAGATATCACATAGAAAACATTAAATGCCATTTTTAATTAACCTGCGAAATGGTGTAAACTATTCTATTGATATTTATATACTTCTCAAATTGTTTCGCATATGCATTTTTAGACTTTAGAATCTACCTAGAAGGAGAGTGAGAGAAATTGAGAGCACACGTTTCTTATCATCAATGGCATTGACGATTTTTGTTTTTTTTTTTTTTCAAAACATAAAAATGTTTTTCTTAGGTTGCCGGCAAATAAACAGCAACTATTTCTATATTAATTCTCATATTACTCATTAACCTTGAAAAATGAAGACATTATGCACAGTGTTACGTCTGAATGGACTATAAATAGTACAACGTTGCCATAGATCAATATAAATGTGTAGATACATATATCATAAGTATACTAAAATGCGTGGGTGTTGTTATGAGTTTTAAATCCGAAGTATTATTTTTTCCGTGGAATGTTCAGTGTAGTCATACATATAGAGATTATTGAGGGCACATGCGTTCGAAACGTCATAAATGGGGATTTACCGATGGAACGAATAATATTATATGGGGATTGTGATGATAACGTCATAAATGCCTGGATTTCTTACTCTTGTTTTTTGAAGACAAATAATTCACAACGAAATAAAGTTTGCGGGTGTGAATTTAGATATTTTAATGTTTTTGTATCATACAAGAACTGCAATAGAATTGTGAGAAGAGTATTGCGTCGGGTACAATCCGAACCACGATTCGCCATGTATCTCACAGTGGACACTATACATTGCCGGAACATCTTCCGATACGTTACCTTATTTTCCGTTAAAATAGACTGAAGTCCGATCATCCTTCATGGGTTCGAAAGGGACTTAACCTTTGTCAACATAAACGTCGTTTGCTTATCCAGCAGTCTCTACTGAGATGCATGGTCTTAATTCGGTTATTCGACCTGTAGGCTGTAGCGGCTGCTGCTGTGCCGAAACTTCATTTCTGTTACCAGAACACACAAATGATTGCAGTGTTATCTGAAGCGACGGTAAAACTCGAAATACTTGCCAATTGGCTTACCTATGGTTAAGAAAAGTACGTCCTTTGGAGTTTATGATGTTAGGTCCTTTGGAGGTTAATGGTTAGGTGGCTGTCTGACCCCAACGAAATGACTGGTTGTCAAGTTACTTACTTCGTTAAACCCGGAGACACGATGAATATGTCTGATCAGAGGAATTTCACTGCTCTTCCAAATGACCCCACAGATGCTCGATTGAGTTCAAATCGGGTGATTGTGCTGGTGTTTCCAATACATGGGATACAACTGCCCACATTTTCACATTCAAAGCCTCATGTTTTGGGTCGTTGTCTTGATAGAAGGAGAAATTACCGCCAATATCCAATTTGAAATTTTTTAATTATTATTTTTTTTATCCATATTTCCCTTAATAATATTCCCCATACCATAATTGAACAACCACCTCATTTGGTCTTCTATAGACATATGAGCATCCATCAGATCGAAAAAAGTTGAATTGGCTTTAATCTGATGGTCTTCCAAAATGACTAATTTTTATTATAATATTCTTTTGCAAATTTCAGTCTGTTTTTTGCGCTTAATAATGGTTTCAGGATAGTCATACATATAGATGGGATAGTCATACATAAAATAATGGGATATCATGGCAGTCAGCTTTGGCGCACTTAGCTTAGGATTTGTCTTAATGTG